GTCTTGTCTTCCATGTTCAGTACGTTTTTGTTAATGTGTTACTTTGTTTCCAAAAAAAAAAAAAAAAAAAAGATAACGGGCAAGGAGGATCGTTGTCTGATCCGATTGGTCGAAGGAAGCAGTAACTGTGATTCAGGAACCAGCTTAGGTCGGGATTTTCATGCTCCACAAGATGTTCGGGCCACAGCAGGAAGTTTAATCGGGATTTCAGTTTGACGTGGAGACCAGCTCCGACGAGGTCTGTCAGGGGGAGGGCCAGCCAAGCGTCGAAGAAACGAAGGTATGGGCGTCAGCGGGGGTGGCGGTAGCTTAGGTCGATAGCTGCGGTAAATACTGGGGCGACTAAACACTGAATTATGTATTTCTAACAGGGTCGAAGGATCGTATACCAGGACAGTAAAGGCAGAGGGAACGTCGAGCATAACCATACAACACAAACATAGGAGAAACAAGCGGCAGGCCAGGTACAGCGGCGCCATCTTGGATTTTCCAAAAGAAAGTGAGAGAGTCTCAGAGCCCAATATGACCAGTCCACCAGGATCCTGAGCCACACATTCACTGCCCAACAATGTGCTCATGAGTGCTCAGAGTTGCTTGGATTTTGGGTCAACACAAAAAGCCATTTACTGATGGAGGGGTTGTCAAAGAATGCATGAGTGCAGTAGCTGAAACACTACTTGAGGGAAAACAAAAACAAGAGCTTTGTGATAAAATAAAGCAAATACCCATGTCAGCATCATCTGCCACAAAGAAAAGTGAAATATTGACTCAGGATGTGCTAACCCAGCTAGATGAAGCCCTTCATAAGGCACCATATGTAGGCTTAGCTGTGGATGATTCCACTGACATGTGACAATGCTCAGCTGTTAGTATATGTCAGGTTTTTCAACACAGACCAGAAAGCATTCTGTGAAGACCTGTTAGGTGTCACTCTCCTTCAGACCAGTACAAGAGGAAAAGACCTCTACCTGGCCATTAAGGAGATGTTAACAAAGAGAGGAATAGAACAAAAAAAAC